TTTAACTTTGATGATGAACGCGAAGCGCAAGTGATCTTGGACTCATTAAATAACGAATACCTCATTCATCGGGTCTGCATGCTACTAATACTCATAACTAGATTAAATATAAACTAGTTAGTTATATTTTTGAAGCTTAGACTAAATCGTAAAAACCATTAAATAATAAGCTGATAAAACGTATACACTTGTAATAAAAACAATAAACTAAAAACTATAAATTTTTAACAATATATTTAAACTTTTTATATTCAATTAATATTAGCGAATATTAGCGTTTAATTGATAGTTTTTTTTTTTAAAAAAAAAAAAAAAGAATAAATTGAATTATTATCGACCTCAGGTTCAATAATGACATAACGGTGTTATTACTTAAGTATTATAATCTGTATATTAATTTTATTCTTTTTTTTTTAAATTAAAAGATCGTTTTGAATTGGATGACAAAAAGCATGGTATTACTTCGCCTCTTGTCGGTGCTAGAACAAAAGCTCAATTAGTTAAAAATCATAAGGCTTTTGAATTGAAAGTATATGACTATAAATTTCTATCATTTTGTATTAAATTGAACCTTTACTTAACATTTATATATTGGTCTAAATAAATGGACTAAAGCCTATACAGATGACAACATTAGATGCTGTTTCTGAACTAAAACGATATGCCATTTCCATATTCTATGTATCAAAATTTAAATAGATTTCATGACAAGTATAACCTATGTTGAGTTTTGAGGAGCAACAAAAATGGGTAGGTAGGAATGCCTTAGGCTAGAAGCATCATGCCCTTTCACGCCTGCCCATAAATATATATTAGCATTATCTTTAAACAATTAATATTAACATTATAACAGAAATTATAGAATTAAAAATAGCATTTTAATTCTTTAAAAAAACATATACAATTCAATTAAACAATTATAAAGAATTGTTTAATACAATAATAAAAGTCTAAAAGAATTAATATCGGTTTTTATCCTATAAATATTATGTTATACTATATTAGTGCATATTTCTGCTTTTCACCACTGAGCTAAAATTAGTTAGTATAACTATTATTTTAGATACAATATTGAATAGTTCATATTCTATATTGTAACGATTAATAACTATTAAAAAATCGATAGGTTAGCGTTGTAATGATGACCGTTGGATTTTCAAATCACACGTGGGATTTTAGATCCGTGAAGGATTTTCAGATTCTGTGTGAGACTAGACTCTCAGATCCCAGATCCCGAATCTAGCGTATCAGCTAAACCCAACATTAATTCTATTTTTTTTCAATGACAATATATTTTGTGATATTACTTTACTATGCCGTATGTTTTCTTTTTTTATTTGTGTAATTTTAAAAATAATTTTTAGATTTATTTTATTTATTTTATTTGAAAATTATACTAAAATTACATAGAGTTCCAATCCGTCATCCGTTTATCCATATTTAATTATCCGGATACCGATAGGTGGATAATTATCCGGATATCAATAGTAAATGGATATTACAGCTATTTTCATAATTCCTAGGACCTTTTGACGAATGATTTTTCGGCGAATTCGGCAAAGTTATTGATTTTGGCATAATCAGGTATAAAAAATATTTCTTTTCATACTACAATATCGACACACTCAACGTTATTAAATTTTAGTTTGTACAGAAACTTGTGAAAAAAAATTATTCTTGTCAACAAATAAATCTTAACAAGAAATATAAAAGCACGGATATAAAATTTATAAAATAAACATATATATTTATATATAAAATACTTTCTTATGTGTATATCTAAGTCGGTGTATAACTTTTTAAATTGTTATGCGACTAATTTTATATCCCAATCTAAGTTCAATTTCGGATTGTAGTTCATACGATCACCAGTCAGGTTTTTCTTTTGTTAAGGTTTTAAGATATTTTATATCGCTCGTGTTTAATGAACGTAGTAAGTGGAAAGTGCTTGGGAGCCCGACTTATAGAGGACTTGCTAACACCAAAGTGTTTGACAATTTTTCGAATTGATAAGCCTTCTAAATTTTTTCAACTATTTGCCAGCCAAGATGGTTTAAAAGTTTCATATTTCTGTATTCAACTAGAGATATGCATATCAATATGTAATCTTATAAAAGTTAAACCGTGGAAATCTAATTTTAATTGAAATTGATGACGTATTTTTGAAATAGGTGATCCAGCATTCTGATCTTATCTTCAATTTGAACGAAAGTTTTACTTTTTATTATTTTATAAATTTTTCCGATTTCATAAAATGGGGATCTTCAAACACTCTCATTTCATTTTCCGATTTTAAAATCTTGTAAAACAATTAAGTTTTTTCAAACTCTCAATTAATTTCAAAATGCGCCACTTATTTGTTAACTTTGAAGACTCTATTATATTATTCACCTGATCTTAAATTATGTATATCTGATATCTGTTATTGAATCTTTTATTATTATTCCCGAAATCAATAACTGGATACGCTTTACTTCGCCGACAATCATCCCTATAAGAAAAATGGTTCAGATCGGTACGGGTTGGTTTCAAATAGGCACGGGCCTTTGTGGCGCGGGTCAAGATCCGGTGTTACTGTTGTAATATACCTGCGCCCCAAAATTGCATAATTTCTTATTTTCGCCCTGTCTTATTATTATCATCCTTCCTTAAAATTATCGGATGATCTTGCTTCCGATTACGTATTCTTCCATTGTCCCACCTGATTTCTATTTTTTTCTTTGGCCCCTTTCTTATTTGTTTAATGCATATGTCCGATTTCCGTACCAGATTGACTCATAATTCATGTAGATAAATTGGTCCGACATATGAGCACTACTAGCAATCGACCTTTCAATTGTTGGCGGAGTTCTGCTAGCATAATAATGCTCGAGTGACATTGAGTTCCGAGATTATTGGTCTAGGTGTAACTCTTAATTCGTGCCTAGATGTGAGGGGAAAGTTTAAATAAATGAAGATTAGTAACACAATTATATGATAGATAAGCGTTTGTCTGTAATGTATTAAAGAGAGATTTGTAGTTAGTTGACATGTATATAAACCCGATGTATTCACCCTCTTGTAGAGGCAGGTTTTTGTCTTTAGCAGACTTTCCTCTCTGATATACAATAAAAGCATTGTCTTGTTATGAATCGTGACTATATGCTTTGTGCAGTTTAGTCAGAGTTTATTCTTGGTCTTATTTATTTTGTGTTATTTTCTCTTTTATTTTTATTTTATACATTTACCCTCTGTTCCGACGTATTACATATTCGTTTACCACCCTAAACTATCTTGGCACTGACCTATCTGACGCTCTCCCAAATTCGGATGGTAACACCGGATTTGTACGAGTATGGTCCGAGTTGGTACAGATTCGGTGGTCTGTGTGGGACCGTATACCCGTGCCAATTGGACCGTAAATGGTACAGGTTTTGCAGCATTTTACTAGTCGAATCAGCACGGGTAATGATACATAAATTCACGTGCCACCGCAATAACAAATAACAAACATGTTAAAGCATAAGATTTACATTAGTAATCAATATAATATGATCAAACTAACTGCATGTGAAGTAAAATTTGTAGGAATCTTTTTTGTTAAGATATTCAGAGTAGCTTTATCAGTGAAATTATGAGATATTTTACTTTTTTTAAAAAAAATCATTTATTGATCTTTCGCTCTCTGCGAAACAAGCCAACACATATCACGAGCCAACATGTGCGTAACGTACACATACGCGTCATCTGAACATGTTGTTCCATATGACGTGATATAACGTGCCACCCCTTGCCGCAATGTCCGTGCCATTCTGTAAATCGTGCCTGTGTGTGCCATACAATCTGTGCCACTTCGTACATTCCCGAAACCAACCCGTACCACTTTTCTTATAGGGCATTTCACTGACAGCTCATTTAGCTAACATCACTCCAAGTGACAATTTACTAAAAATATAACTTTGCAACTAATAAAACACTATCCTATGTGATGTCAGCTAAATGAACTTTTGATGAAATGATTGTTGGTGAAGTGAGCAGCACCATAATAAACTTAACCGGATCAGCCAAAAAATCATTCGGCAAATTTTACTAAGTGTCTCAGAAATTATGAAAATAGCTATAAATGGATATCCTAATCCGGACATCTGATCTGGCTAACTCATATGTTTTAATTATGGTTGTTTCAGTATTCAAATTAAAACGACTTCCTACCAATCATAATCATAAATTACCAGATAACACTATTATTAGGCACAATTTGTCGAATACAGTAATTTGGCAAATTATTGGCTGCACGTGCCGTAAAGCGGCACATGCTTATTTGCCAAATTACCATTATTCGATAATTTTTGCCCAATAATGTTTACTTATAGTATGTTTCATGTAGGCAAGAAATATTGAAATTTGAAAAGTAATTATAGGTCATATTTTGATATATCAGTTAAATTTAATAAATTACAAATACACTGTACGTACGTACGTTGTGAGAGGGTAAATGAACCCTATTAGTTCTTTTTTAGGGTTATGGTCGGTAGTAATCCCGAATTATTGGTACAGGTGGCACAAATCATTGAGAATTCCGGTTATCCAA